AATGAACTCCTTGGAGGGTTCTGAGTGTAAGCTGTGAGTTGATCATTCACCTCTCACAAAGCATCGGGTGAAGGAGGTGATCTCGGGGCAGGGAAAAACACTTGGGGGTGACTCGATTGTCCTCGGCGAGGGAAGTGAACACTGGTGGAGTTTCCATGCTGTGCCCCTGTGTTCTGTGGCAGGTGGACAGGCACGTGGATCTGCTGCAGATCGCCAAGGAGACGGACGGGTTCTCGGGCAGTGACCTGAAGGAGATGTGCCGGGACGCGGCGCTGCTCTGCGTGCGGGAGTACGTCAACAACGCCTGCGAGGAGGACACGTACGTGCCTCGCCCTCCCGGCCTCCTGCCCAGCCCTGCCCTTGTGCTCTCTCATTGCAATCAGGAATTTAGAGGGGGTTCGACCCCCTCGCAGCACAGGAGGGTCTCGTTTGCCTTTCCAAAACCCGCCCAACTTTCAAAATCGAAGTTACCGTTATTGATTTTGACTCTGGAAATAAGAGTGTTTGTGCCAAGATGGCTGGAGATGGCACGAGCCAACAAGTCGTGGTGCTGCACTATCCAGTACCAGGGTTCAGTGCTGGTGACACGGTGCTGGAACGTTCCTCTGGGATCTCCCACACCTACAGGGAATCCCTGCGTGCACAGGGGCTGTGCTGGAGCGTGTGCAGGGAAGGGAACGGAGCTGGGAAGGGGTTGGAGCAGCAGGAGCAGCTGAGGGAGCTGGGGGGGCTCAGCCTGGAGAAAAGGAGGCTCAGGGGGGACCTTCTGGCTCTGCAAGTCCCTGACAGGAGGGGGGAGCCGGGGGGGGTCGGGCTCTGCTCCCAGGGAACAAGGGACAGGAGGAGAGGGAACGGCCTCCAGCTGTGCCAGGGGAGGCTCAGGTTGGCCAGGAGGAGGAATTTGTTGCTGGAAAGGGTGGTGAGGCCTTGGCAGGGGCTGCCCAGGGAGGTTTGGAGTGCCCATCCCTGGAGGTGTCCCAGGAAGGCCTGGCCGTGGCACTCAGTGCTCTGGGCTGGGGGACAAGGGGGGCATCGGGCACAGGGGGGACTCTGTGGCATTGAAGGCCTTTTCCAGCCTGAATGATTCCATGATTCCAGTGTGATGCTGGATCCACATCAGAGCCCCTGTTTTCAGTGATTGCTGCTCACTGCTGGAATAGCTTTTCCACAGCACCTGAACCCTCACCTTGCTGTTTTTCCCTCTCTCTCTCAGCCACGACGAGGATGAAATCCGGCCCGTGCAGCAGCAGGATCTCCACAGGGCCATCGAGAAGATGAGGAAATCCAAGGATGTCTCCATGCAGAACCTGGCCATGGAGATTGTTTTTGATTAAGCCCAAAGAGCGTGTTTGCAGTTCTGATGTGATTTAGTTTGACTTCTTTAATCAGTTAGCAAAGCCAGTGCCGGGGGGCGGGAGCGGGGGTGGCCGAGGGGGTGGTTCTGCCTCTGGAATTGTTTTGATACAACAACTTCTAAGTTATTGAAATTCCATCGCGCGCCACTGGAAGTGCAACGAGAGATCATGAGTGGAACAATTGAGCCCAGCCCGAGAGTGTTGTCCCACACTGATCCACTGAGGAGCCTTCCAGCAGGTGGGACACGGGGGCGCCGGGGTGAGGGGGACAATCCGTGGCAGGGCTGTGCTACCTGTGACCTGTACATAGCCACACTTTTTTTTATATATAGACATAATCTGTAGATAACTTGAGTATGGAAAATCTTTTCTACTTACTGAAGCAAACCAAATCAGAAGATGTATAGATGAGAGATTCCTCGATACTCAGTTCACTTCTACCTTTTAGCAGCAAATACCAAGATAGGAACTGCTTCTAGAACAAAGCAAACTTTGAAATGCTACTGATTTCTCTTTCACGTGACCACTTGAAATCTGGTGCCATTTAGCAAAGATAGCAAACTACTCTGTACAAATGTTGGAATACTTTTAATTTTGTATGAATTCTGCTTTTTAAATGAACGCTGGTTTTATTTTGGGTTTTCCCTTGATGTGAGCAATTAGAGTAGAATCTTCCCTTGTCTTTCCTGAAGCCCCCACGTGTTCTGAGCTCTCTGGAGCCGTGGCTTTCTGAGCTCCTGTGCATTGTCCTGAGGACTGGCTGCTCTCTCCAGCTCCCCTGGAGGCCCCAGTGTGGCACCACCCCGGGAAGTGTCGCAGCTCTGGGGCACGGGGGGGATGCTCTGTGATGTTTGGCTCTGTCACATGCTTGGATCCGTGACACTGAAGAGGAGAGGAAGGGTTTTAGGCTTGTAAATGTGATTTAGCAGCGTGCTGTAGTTGTTGGTAACAGTTCTGGTGAGTTCACGTTCTGTCGCGACGGAGGCGAAGGGTTGCAAATGTGAGTGGCAAAAGTGTTCTGGTGAAGTTTTTGTCAGAGATATTCAAGAACTTGATTTTTCTTTGTCTAATTTTACGAACTGTGCACTAATTGAACACAAATCTGTAAAGGGAATTGTTTCCTACCCCTGGGGTGGAGTGTTGTGTCACAGCTCTGCTGCCTGTGAGGGGAGGGAGGCGTTGGAGGCAGAGAATGATGTAAAACCAAACGCACTGCAAAGTAAAATAAAGTGAAATAAAGAGGGCTGGAGCCCTGCCATCACAGTGTCGGGGGCTGCTGACAGTGTCCATCCAGCACAGCTTGCTCCCTGCTATTCCTGGAATGCTGGGGATGCAGGAGGGCTGAGCTTGACCCAATTTAACCTTAAAAGCAAATGAGGAGGGAGGGGGGTTTAAAAGTAACTGAATAATTGCTTAGACTTCTTTTCTCATATCAAAAAACAATGAGAGATGCACATTGCTCTAACACAGGGGTGCAGGAAATTAGGCACAGCAGAAACACCGTGCTACGGATGTCTGGGATGTGGGATGCTAATCCTGCCCTGTCATGTCAGTGCTGGGGCCGAGGGCAGTGCTGAGTGACAGTGCTGGCTCTGGGTTCAGGGAGCCAGTCCAGAGGAGGCCCCAAGAGGATCAGAGGATGGAGCAGCTCTGCTGGGAGGAAAGGCTGGGAGAGTTGGGATTGTTCAGCCTGGAGAGGAGAAGCTTTGGGGTGACCGGATTGTGGGCTTCCAGGACTTGAAGGGAGCCTGTAGGAAAGATGGAGAGAGACTATTTCCAACAGCCTGGAGTGCCAGGACAAGGGGGAATGGCTTCCCACTGCCAGAGGGCAGGGTTAGATGGGATATTGGGAAGGAATCGTTCCCTGTGAGGGTGGGGAGGCCCTGGCACAGGTTGCCCAGAGAAGCTGTGGCTGCCCCTGAATCCCTGGAAGTGTCCAAGGCCAGGTTGGACGGGGCTTGGAGCAACCTGGGCTAGTGGAAGGTGTCCCTGCCCATGGCAGAGGGTGGGACTGGATGGTCTGTCAGGTCCCTTCCAACCCAAACCATTCCATGATTTTATGACTCACCTCAGAATTAAACCTGCAAATTGTGCTGCTTACCGGGATCTGTTTCTGGGGAGGTTGGAATGAGGCCTGTGCCAGGTGCTCCAGCTGATCCATGTGTTCCATGCCCCTTCTGACACTCCTCCAGCCCCTCTCTGGGGTTGTTACACCTGAGAAATGCCAGGCTGGGAAGCTCCTCCTGCCTTTTTTTCAGGCTGCTTGCTATTTGGTAAAGACCCAGCGCAGGCAGGTCTTAACTGGTATGAATTGAGTGGAAAGTGTTTCCTCAGGGGAGTTTTAATGTCCCACTGAGGGCAGGGGAGAGGGAACAAACCCTGGGCTGTTGGCAGGTGCCAGGGGCAGCCTCTGGCTGAGCTCTGATCTGCCTGTTTCTCCAAAATCCTGGCTCTTGGCATGGCTGGAGCTTTGCCTTTTCCTCGTGCCGTGTCACCGGAGGTGTAAGGGGCTGATTGAAGAGGCACAAGGAGTTATTTCTAGTTGCCCCTGAGGGCAGTTACTGCAGTTGAACTGCAATTCCCACTTCTCCAAGAACCTTTCCAGACTTGTCTACTCTTGCTGCCGCCTCAGGAGTCCTTGTCAAAGCTCAAACCCTGCTAGGAAGGCTGGGGAAGCAGCGTGGTTTGTCCTGCAGGAATGTGGCCACTATAATCCCATGGCTCCAGTGGTTTGGTCCAATCCTCACCCTCTGCTCCTGCCTCTCCTCAGAGCTGGGGGTGAGCCTGATCCCTCTCCCACATCTCCAGGGCCAGCTCCTCAAACTGTGTCCAGTCTCCAGCGTTGAGCTCCGAGATGCAAAGCAAAGCTCCCCCCTCCAAAAAATCCAAGTGAGATTATACTTACATGTATAAATATTTATTTGTACTAAAAGTGAGTGTTTCGTAGCGGACTGTCGAGTTCAGAATATATTAAATCATGAGATGCATCAGTTGAAGTACAAATTCCAGTCTCATGTCTTTAATAAATACACTATAAAACCCCCAGCCCACATGCTCCAATCAGAGGTAATCAGGACACTGCGCTGGTTTAACAGGACAATACAACATCTGTGTTTGCTGTAACCACTTGGATTCACCGCAGAGGGTTTTTTAATGTTGGATTGTTTTATGATGAGCAGCAACAGCGCTACTTCACTCCTTGAAAATCCTAAGTGGGAATATTGCTTTGGGCTCCAGGTCCCTGCTGGAGGGCCTGAGCAGATGAGGTGCTGAGGTGCTGTCGGCTCCCACCACAGGGGCTGCAGCATTTCCTTGGGGTATGACACGAGCTTTGGGCTCTTTGCTCCAAATACTTTAAAAAATGACTTAAAAACCCACCCAACAAGCCTTTTTGCAAGGGTGTTTTCCAGCCACATCCAAAGTCTTGGACGCTGTGCCGTGGCCCCAGCACAGCAGCTCTGAGCTGGCGGTGTCGCTCCCGACCCTGACAAGGGGAGGCTGGTTGGTTTTGCTGAGCACAGACCCATTTGTCATTAACACTGAAGCACAAGAAGAAGGGAATGCTGGTTCCTGTTCATTGGGAACACATCCTGACCGGATCCGGGGCAGCTACTAAAGAAGGACAGGTACAAAAATCACGAAGGAGGATCCGATCCTGCCAGGCAGGAATATACCCCAGAGCATGTGGATGGCATCCCCAATTTTTTCTTGCTGCCCAGATCTTCCTCAGAGATCTCAGGTGCCTCCCAGGCCAGCTTCCCCTGCCAGGCTGTGAGCACAGGGAGCACCATGGCACAGTCCCCACAGAGAGCTGAGCTCAGAGCACCAGGAACGCTCATCCCGGGTTTTGTTTGACCAGAGAGGTCAAGCGGGAGGAAGGAAGCAAGGAATGTCAGTGAGCAACTGGCTCGGCCACAAGGAACTGGAGGTGGTCAAGGCTGATTTAAAAAAATCCTTTTAAAAAAGGGCATTAAAAAGATTCCGCTGTTTACTAGGAAAAACTGTCCAAGGCACAACCTGGAGGACAGTGACTGGATCTGGGCACGGGGTGCCCGTTTCTCACCCCAGCAGCAGCACCTGCTCCTCACTTCAGCAGCTGCTCCTGCCTCGTCAGGCAGTGCTGGGAGAGGGGCACTGGGAAGGCACTTCTTCATTCCTGCTCCTCGCAGGGACAGGCAGGATTTATCCTGGTGCTGAGCCCCCACCTCTGCACTGGGAGCCGGAGCGTGGCCCCAGCAGCACCAAAATATCCGTGTGGCCCATCTGGAGGCTGTGCTGGGCTTCCTGCCACCAGGCTCAGCTGGGAATGAAGGACCTGCTGCCCTTCTCCCTTCCAGCTCCACAACGATGCTCCCAGCAGCTTCAAGGGGAGAAGGACCAGGCTCAAAGTATTTCTGATTAGTAAAAAACACTCCGACCCGGGTGGGAAAATCCCACGGTCAGAGCACTGGAAATGCCAAGTAACTGATCTGTGTCATAGGGAATCAATCAATCATTGCTCACTCTTAATACAAGTATTTCTGGGAAGGAGGAGAGTTAATTCTTCTTTTCCAGCGACTGGTAGTAGGTGGTGAGGACTTTCCAGGCTTTGGGGGCCATGAAGCCGTCCGGGGGGTTCTCCCCTTCCCGAGCGAGTTTCCTCATGCGTGTTCCTGAGATGAAGTCGAAGTCGTCGTGCCTGTGCCAAACAGAGACAGGCGACATCAGCAGGGCTGGCCTGAGTCAGCCCCCGAGGGTTCCTCGTCCCAGAGGAGCTGGAGCATCCATGACCCACCTCCCCAGCTGGGAGAGGCTGTGCTTCTCCTGCCACTCAGTCCCCAGACTGTGCTGCTTATCCTCCCTGTGGCATCTTTAGTTCCACGTGACCCATCCTTGACCTGGTGACAGCTCCTGAGGGGGAATTCCAGGTGGCTTTCCCAGGTTCTCCCCCCACTCCTCTCCTTTAGAGGAACACCAAGGGTTTTCCCTCTGCCCTGGCCAAGCTGTGAGCCCGAGGTGACCACAAACCCCACGTGCCGCGGGGGCCGAAGGAGCCGCGACGCCGCTGCCGCGTTACCTTTTGGGGTCATAAAAATCCATGGCCCTTTTCAGCTTGTTGTAGGCAGCCACCCTGAAGGGGATGATCTCCACCGAGGTGAGCCCCGGGGCCATGCTGAGCACCTTCCCGCCGTGCGTGGGCTCGTACAGGTCCTTCTTGGTGTCGGGGTGCGGCATCCCTGCGGGATCGCGCCCCACGATGTAGAAGTTGGCCCCCGCGATCATCCGGGCTCGGCAGTGCCACTGCACCTGCACGGGGGGGACACAGGGCTGAGGGCTGAGCAGCAACGGGGCCACCCAGCCCGGGCTGCAAGAGAGGTCCTGGCCATGCACACGCAGGAAGGAAGGAGGGAAGGAAGGCAGGAGATGTGTCAGCAGCCTCGCCGTGGTTTGTCGCAGCACTCTCAGGCCGCCCAGACACATCTTCCACTGCTTGGACCCGATGCAACCACAGTTCTCCTAAGGACACATATTTCCATGGAAACACTGGGCATGGGAACGGGGTTTGTCCCAGCCTGGTGGCAAATGGAGGTCACAGTTGGAACCTTGAACATGCACAGGCGCTGCATGGTCACACACCAAAGGCTGCCTGCGCAACCCTCCCCTCCTCCCTCGGGGCAGGTCCAGCACTGACCCCTTTCGTCCCAGCGATTTAGGGACAGAAGGGAAACACTGAGGGAAACCAAATGAATGTCCCTGCCTGACAGGAAAAGGTGAAATCTTGTTTCTGCCCCTTGTCCCCAGTGAGGGGATGGGAGCCCATGGAGCCGAGCTCTGCCGGGACATTGCTGTGGCAGCAAGGGCGGGGGACCCGTGGAGAGAACCAACAGCGAGGCAATGGCTACAACTCCCTTCCCGGGACTTCCCAGAGCTGCAGGGGTAGGCTGGCAGCAGAATCCCCATGGACAGGCTTCACACCTTGCCCTGGGGAGCAGGCAGAGGCTACATTACCTCAGTGGGGCCGGCGTAGAGCATGGGAGAGGGGAAGATGGCCACGATGGTCGACTTGGGGTCCAGGACCTGCTCCTCCAGCACGGCCGCGTGCTGCTTCATCCGCCACTCTAGCGGCACGTCGTCATCCTTGGTCCACCCCCCCAGGGGGTGCAGGAGCAGCACAGGGTTTTTGTAGCCCCTCTCCAGGAGCTGGCGCCGCGTGTCCTGCATGAGCAGGGCGTGCCCGTTGTGCACGGGGTTGCGCAGCTGGAACGCGAACACGGCGTCTGGGAGGGAAGGATGCGGAGGGTCAGGGGCTGGCACCGACCCTCGGGTGCCTTGGCTTCATCTCACACCCCTGGCATTTCCACACAGCCATGAGTGTGTCCTGTCTCCACGCTAGTGAGGCCTTAAACACCTCAGGTGAGTGTTTCACACAGATCCATCGCTCTGCCAAGGCTGTTCTCATTACAGCCCTTTCCTCTGGGGCTGGTTTCAGTCCTATAATGTTCAGCCCTCCTATAATGTTTGTAAGTGCCACTGGACACCTCCAGCAAGTTCCCCAACTTCCTAAGTGACCTGCCAGCTCCATGAGCTCAATGACACCTTCAGGAAGATCAACACTCTCCCCAAAGCAAGGGTGGGTGTCTGAGCTCTGCCAGCCTGCTGGGATGAGGTGGGACAGGGCTTGGAGCAACCCTGGTCTAGTAGAAGGTGTCCCTGCCCATGGCAGGGGGTTGCAATGAGATGATCCTTAAGGTCTCTTCCAACCCAAACTACTCTGGGATTCTGTGGGATAGCCCCCCTGGGAGCAGACACCTGAGCTGTGCCCATGTGCAAGGCCAACCATGTCAGTGCTGACAGGGAGGCTCTGACCTGCCAGGGAGGACACGAGCAGGATGCTCAGCACTGTCCAGCCCATCACAAGCACCATCCTTAAACCACAGAGACCCTGCCCCACTTTTTGTGCCACGCCCTGGGTCCCTCTTACTGCTCAACCCCACCTGAACAGTCCCATTTTGGGAGGATCCAGAAGCAACCTCGTGAGTGCTGCGAGCCTGGGAGCACATCACCATGGATCACACCAACCTCCTGGTGCCAGCTGGGGCAGGGAGAGCCGTGTCCCCAGTGCCAACCCAGGGCACTCACCAGCATTCATCTCCCTGAACTTCTGCTTCAGAGCCCGTGGGGTGAGGCGGTACTGGTCCAGCCCATCGTTCCACTTGATCCTCTCCAGGACATGGAGGTCTCCCCCAACCAGCCAGTCTCCACTCTCCATCACCATCTGTGAATGACACACACACGCAGTGCAGAGGGGGCACCAAGGACATGCTTTTCCCTCTCCCGCTCTCCTTTGGAAGTGTTAGGCTTGACTCAGCTGGTGGGGTGATCTTCCCTTCTCCTTCAGCACGTTGTAGGCAGAAAACATCCTTACAGTAGCCACAGGAACTGAATGTCACGAGCAGCACAAAGCATCAGCCACCCAGTCCCCACCACTGCACCCAGCTGGGTGCTGCACTCTGGCACAAGACCTTCCTCCACCTCACTCTTTGCTCTTTCCTCCTGGGAATATGCAGGAGGAATACACCTGCTGCACGGTGAGCACACTGCTGCTGATTCACTACAAGAGGTGTTCTAAGGGAGCAGGAAAGGACTAACACAGCTTCAGCCTTTCTAAGCAGAGTCACGAGTTCTGACAGCTCAAGTCACTGGGTGGCACCCAGAGCTCTCCCTTTCTGAGGGATGAAGCTCCTTGGACTGCCAGAGAGTAAGTGGGAAGAGAGGAGCTGTAAAAACATGACACCCCTGTTGGCTGCCTGTACAGAACAGCCTAAAATTTCACAGAATATTCTGAGATGGAAGGGACCCACCAGGATCACTGAGTCCAACTCTTCAGTCCTGCCTGCTCGGGATGTGATGATTCCCAGCAGGGAGCTGGGCAAACAGGAAACCCCGTGGCCCTCAAAACCCGGGAAAGGTTCGGTTCCCCAGCCCCAGCCAGGCTTCCCAGGGCAGCGAGGGGGCAACCCTTACCTGGATGTGGGGGTGCCTGGGGCAGGTGGTGCCCCAGACACGGGCACAGCGCTCCTCCTTCCTGTGCTGGAAGAACTCCGGGCTCCGGAGCACGGCCACCCTGCGGCCCTGGAAGCTGAGCGCCAGCGCCTCGCAGCCCTCCAGCCGCTGCTTGTCCTCCTCTGACACCGGCAGCACGATGGGGACGCTCAGGTTCACCACACCATCTGCCAAGAGAGGGGCACAACTTCACCATCCTCCAGCCCCGGGGCTCGGGAACACAGGAAAAGGAGGTTTCCACGGAAGTTTAGTCGCGGTGTCGGTTTCTCTTTGGCACTGCCCTAAGTTGTGATGTTAGTGGGATACAGAAGCTCCCTATCCCAGGGACACGGATGTCTCTGAGACACCTGGAGCATCTCATTACTTCCTGTGCTCCCTCTCTTCCCTGGTTCTTCTCCATTAGTTGTAAAGTTGAGGAATGTAAATGTGCTTGGAAAACACAGCCCTGGATGTAACCCCTGCCTCTCCTCTGGCAGAACCACCTCTGTGGAGATGGTGTTACCTGGAGCATCCCATTCCCTGCACGCCTCCTGAGCTGCCTCTTCCACCAGGGAAACACCACCACACTTGGTTTCTTTGGGGTTTTTTTGGGGATATCTCGATACTGCTACTCCCCCTCCCTGACATCTCTGCACTGTCCATGTTTAATCTGTGTCTGTACAGCAAGTCTATATTTGCACATGCACTTCCTAATTTCGATGCTGTCCCTAAATACCTTGAAATCATGTTGGTTTTATCCTTGCTCCCCCAATCTCCCAGTCCTCCACTAAAGCCCTCCCATTTCTCCTTGGATAATTCCAGTGTTAATACAGAAGAATCAGTCCCTCCCATGAGTTTCCAGTCACAAACAAATCACTGATTCACTTCGTTCTGATCCGACTGAAATCAGTTTGGACCCCCGAGAGTCTTAATTTGAGCATTTTGACTAGGTTGTAGATTTTTTAAATCCTTATTAAAATATTTGCATTTACTTTTAATTCACAACCGGGTATCATTCGTCTGCCAGGCAGCAATTTTCATGGATAATCAGAATTACAGTCACATGGGATCCAATCAATATCAACTTCATACATTCAAATCACATTAATCAGTCAATGAAGTCAGCAGGGGAAAAACCAAAAGCTGGATTATGAAACCAACCAATGATGCTGAAAGGGAGGATATTCAGGCTCTATTTCCCAATGCAAGGTGGAGAATTAACAAAAGATCACCCCAATGATGGTAATCATCACAAAACTGCACGACTGGGATGTTTGTGGTCTGGATGACATGGATGTGTCAGGCCACGTGGATCAAAACCAGGCCATGGTTGTGTCTAGACTTTATAATTTCTTTTTCTTTTCTTTCTTTTTAATAAATCTCAAAAAATTACAGCAAAAAAATCTCAATTGCAGTAATTTGTGTTCAGCCTAAGGACAGTTACATACATACCAGCTACTGAGCGACTCTTTCCTGTGAGAACACAAACACAATTAAGATAATTAACATTCATAGGCACGTTATGGAAACCACTGCAAGAACCAAAGCATTTCAAACCTCAGCCAAGCACCTCCTGAGCACAGGCCTGACAGTGTGGCCGTGCTCCTCCACGGTGCCACCCCAACCTCTCTGGTGCTGGACTGACTCGGGAAGGACCAGCCTCAAACCTCTCCTAGGCAGTGCAGTTCTCAGCACCACGAGGTGGAACCTTCCACCATTTCCTAAGGCTCATCCAGGAGCGGCTGGGATGTTCTCCTTCCTGCCCAGATGCCACCCTGAGGGCCTGACCATGCAGATGTGGAGTTTGGAGACCTCCATGGAGATGAGGTGGAGCAGGGACTGACATTGATGCTCTCTGCTGCAAAGACCTCGCTCTGAAGAGTTCATCCCCCTGCAAAGCTGCTGTCCTGGCTTTGTCCCTGACCCCACAGAGCTCCACAAATCCTGAACATATGCCCACAGAGCTCAGAGGAGCTCTGCTCAGTGATGCCTGCAGGGGTGGGGGGCACCCCAAAACCAGGTGCTCTCCGAGACGAGCCTCCGGCACAAAGTACAGAGCTCTGAAGCAACGTGGTCATCAAGGGGCACCTCTGCGGCCCCGTCAGGCACAGCAGGCAGCTCAAAGACCACAGAGCAGGCTCTGATAACAAGGGCATGTGCTGCTGGACACTGTCTGCACCCTGGGAAGGAGGTGAAAGGCTACGATGTGTCTGAGAGCAGAAGCCCCCACCCAGTCCAAAGGGAGCAGCCCTGGGCTTTGCCTCTGCTGCACGGTGCCCAAATCCTAATAACAGCAGTGAGTCACTGCTCCAGCTGACCAGGGGATCTTCTAGAGGGAGGGCCAGGCTCAAAGGCTCACCAAGATCCAAGATCCCTGAGGGCAGAGGTCACGACCAGGTCTACAAACCCCTAAGTGAGGTCACAGTGACAGCATCTGCAGTTGAGACACTGGATGGGAACATCCATGCCCCTCTCTCAGCTGTGGATGATCACAACCTGAGCACTCCCTGCCTTTTCCAGGGATGGAGCACATGCTACTAATGGACGGAGAAATCTGATTGGTCTCAAGTTACCGTATTGGATAAGCAGGAAAGTGGGGTGGGGGGAGAAAAATCAGGCTCAGCTCCTGTTTCCAAGGAACAGGTGCCTTCTCCTCCCACCTCCAAGCCCAGCCTGGCCTCGGGGTTGCATCTCTATTTACCCTGGTATAACCAAGCATGGAAAGAGCTGCACAAGGGTTCCTGAAATGCCTGAAGGGTGTCAGAGCTGTGAGCCAGGGCTGTGACCTCAGCCACCTTCAGGAGCCCCTGCATTTAACACAGGAGAGGAAAGGAGCACAGCAGAGCCGAGCATGAAGGTGCTCTGTGGGGTGAGAATCCCATCCCACAGTGGCTTCTGGGCCAGCATTCCTGCAGGGAGTGGGGATCCATACCGTTGAGCAGGGTGTCAAAGTGGAGCACTTGCAGGTACTCTGCCTCACGCATGAAGCCCTTCAGAGGAGTGGCCCAGCCTTCGCTCAGCACCTGCACCCACTGCAGATCCAGCTGCAAAACAAACCCACAGGGCACTCCTGTCACACTCCTTCAGGGTCACAGAATGGGTTGGGATGGAAGGGATCTTAAAGATCATCTCATCCCACCCCTTGCCATGGGCAGGGACACCTCCCACTAGCCCAGGTTGCTCCAAGCCCCGTCCAACCTGGCCTTGGACACTTCCAGGGATCCAGGGGCAGCCACAGCTTCTCTGGGCAACCTGGGCCAGGGCCTCCCCACCCTCACAGGGAACAATTTCTTCCTAATATCCAACCTGTCAGTGTGAACTTGTGGGGCTGTATTAACACAGCAAAGGGGACTGACAGCCCTGACTTCCACCAGCACAGGGCAGAGACACAGCAGAAAATAGCTGAGGGTCAGGATCACACCTCAGCTCACCACAACCCACAGCCAGAAAAGGACATGGCCCTCACAGGAACACAGGCCCCTCTGGCAACACTCTCCTGGAAGCTTCTACCCCTGGAACAGCTAAAGAATGACAAAACCCCTGACAGTACCTTAGTGATCTCCACGGATGGCAGCTTCTCTGCCTCAGCTCGGACACTGCTGAGCTTATTTTCAGGCACAAACAGCTCAAGAACGTCCTTAATTGAGCCCCTGGGAACGATATTCTGAAAGACAGAGAAGAGACAGCACCTGTAAGAAACACACTGGTTTTTATGTGCACATCAAAAAGTCCATGTCCCAAAGCAGGATTCCAAATCTGCTGGTGACGGTGGCATAAAAATGACCTACCTGTGCTTGGAGGAGCTCCACAACCTGCTGGATACACTCAGACACTGATGCAATGTTCGTTTTCAACACTAGCTCAGGAGCTTCAGGTTTCTCGTACTCCGAGTCAATCCCCGTGAATCCTGCGGACAATTAAATCCCAAATTCAATTTATTTAATGTAATACTCGGCGCCCCAGAGCCAACAATGCTGTACAAACAACCAGCAGGCATTCAACCATGCTGGGTATGACAAGTGACACTTGTGACAGCAAGATTAGGGAAACAGGATCCTCTTGTGCTCCACAAAGAGCCTTTAGAAACCCACCTCTACGTGCTACAAGGTGTCCAATGCTTTGGAAAGTAAAGGCAAAATAAAACCTCACTCCTCCATACCTTTGATCTCTCCAGCTCTTGCCTTTTTGTACAGGCCCTTCACATCTCTGCTTTCACAGATATTTAAAGGAGCATCTACAAAGATTTCAAAGAAAGGAAGTCCAGCTGCCTCGTGAATTTTCCGTGCATTTTGACGGTCCTGTTAGAAGACAGATGGGAAAATCCTGTGTGTCCAAACTGCAGCAAGCACCTTCCTGCTACATGATGTGTCCCGGAATTTGACACAGGCAAATGTGTCTCTGTTACAGATTTATTAAATTTACACTAATTCTAACAAGGGCTTTTCATCTCCCTTCCCTCCTTTTCTTTAAAGATACTTGAAAAAAAAAATTGTACAAATCTACAAGCTCGTTCTGTTTTCAGCTTTTCCCATCCAAAACCTCAAGATCTTTTCGTGAAGCGGGACAGCAGAACTTAAGACTGTGAATAATTATCTGCCCTGTGCCAAAAAACAGCTGGGCTTGATGATCTTAGAGGTCTTTTCCAACCTTAATGATTCTGTGATTCTACGAAAAAAGGAACTGCTTGCAGCAGCTTGATAGCAGCAGCTACTCAGTCCTCTCAGGAAGCAAAAAAACCCACAATCACATCTTCTTCCAGATGAGCAGAGACAGTTCTAGGATAGGCTGTTGCTTTTGTGCCTCTTTTCTGCCTTCTGCAGGGAGATCTTAACCCCCTCTTAGCTTTACATCAATTTGTACCACGGAATACATTCAAGGAGATCACATCAAACATTCAAGGAGGTCTCCTAAAACTGATGGTGTGCAGTTGTTTGGAGAGGGAAGAGAGCAGCAGTGGGCAGAAGCATTGTTTGGGAAGTGCTCTATGCAAACCTCCCCTCCCCAGGAACCATCCCGGGGCGGAGGGCAGGGCAGGGCAGGCTGTGCTGCGGGGAGGTACCTTGGTGAAAGGGGAGATGAAGCTGGTGATGCAGACGAGCCCCGCGTCGGCGAAGAGCCGGGCGACCTCGGCGATGCGCCGGATGTTCTCCTCGCGGTCCGACGCCGAGAAACCCAGGTTCTTGTTCAGGCCGTGCCGGACGTTGTCGCCGTCCAGGGAGTAGCAAGGGATGCCATGGGAGACCAAGTACTCTTCCAGGGCAAAGCCAATGGTTGTCTTGCCAGCTCCAGAAAGGCCTGTTGGAGACAGAGCAGTGAGGGTCAGGGGTGAGGGCCGAAGAGTGAGGGTGTAACGCGAGACCTCCTGGGGGGAGATTCACCGGCAGCGAAACTCCTTCTGTCTGAAGTTGCTTCAGGAAGGAGTGAGGAAGGGAAGTTGGATTCATCTTTTTAGCACTGGGTCAACCCTTCTTATTAATCATAGAAGCACAGAATCAGCTTGGAAAAGACCTCAGAGACCATCAAGTCCAACCCTCAATCCAACCCCGCCGTGGTTCCCAGCCCATGGCACTGATGCCACATCCAGTCTCACCTTAAACACCTCCAGGGATGGAGAATCCACCCCCTCCCTGGGCAGCCCATTCCAATGGCTGATTACCCTCTCTGCAAAGAAATTCTTCCTAATATCCAACCTAAACCTCCCCTGGCACAGCTTAAGACTGAGCCCCCTCGTCTTGCCATGAGAAAAGCTGCTACATCCCAACGTCTGGAGGGGCTCAACCCAGCAGTGCTGCAAAAACACCTCTTGCTGGGATGTGGTGGGACAAACAGGCAACAGGAAGTAGGGGAAGTTTGGAAAGGTGCTGTTGCCTCCTCTTCCTCCTTCTGTTCCCACTGTTCCAGACTGAACCCAAGGAAAGGTTCTTGCAGCAACTGTGTGGGGTGGGACAGGCCCCAGCAGCAATGGCCCCTCTGCATCCACAGACACTTCTTCTCCAGGTGCATATTTCAAAGAACAATCACAAGCCAGAGAAGCTCAAACCTTTCAGGCACAAGATTTTTTGTGTGATACTCGAAGGAGAAGGAAATTGCCTTGGACAGGTTTTTTGAAATTGAACTGAAGTTGAAGAGGAGAACAAAACAGAAATGTGTTGTAATCAAACATCTACCATCTAAACTGACAGAAAGGCAAATCAGAATGGCTTTACAAACCCTCCCAAGCATGTCCTTCAACATCCTCCATCAATGAAAATGCCAATATTTAACAAGCAAAGGAACAACTGGGCAAGTGGCAAAAGACAGAGCTGTCTAAATATTAGAAATGAGAAATGCAATTATCACTTCCAGCAGCCCTTAATCCCCAAACAATGAGTTTATTTTCAAAGCAGAGGAGAAGGGCAGCAAAACACATGCAAGGAGTTGCTTCCAGTGCGACTGGCTGGGAGTATTTGTTTTCCAGACAAGGTGACTGCCTTGTGCTGCCTTAGACACAGCAAACCTGCGTGTCCCAATAAACTTCCCACCGCCCCTGAATGAAAACATCCGCATCTTGGACAGCCCTGGGCACGTTTCACTGCCAAGGACTGGCTGGGTTTGAGCCAAGGCTTCCTCAGCTACACACTTGGGAACAACAAGTGCTCCCCTTAGGGCCTCTGACGTGTTCAAAGGAGCCTGATAACAGCTGGGAAATTCATAAAAACATCAGTTCTGGGCAGCAGCTGCCAGGGAGAACATCTTGCTGCGCCAGCACCGTGTGTCCGTGTTTCCCACATGTGAATGTTTTGCAATTCCCAGCTCACAGGAATGCTGACGTTTCCTGCGGATCCCGGATCCCCACCTCATGCAGGGAGTTTCACAGGGGACGCCACGCTCTCACACCCAGCTGAAAATACCTGTCAGCCAAACGGTGCAGCCTCGAAATCCTCCTCTGGTACCCACAACTTGGCCTCTCTTACTCCTGCTCACATGGTGGGCTTGGTAAACCACGTTGGTTGATCCCTAGGGAAAACAAAGCAAAGCATTTTTGTACTGAGAGCAAGGAAGAAAATCTCTGCTGGGACTAACAGATGGGAGAGAAATGCAAATTCATTAATGAGCCACGCAGCAAACTTTGGTGTAAGGTGGATTTGTGTCTCAGCAGCACAGAGTGATCTGCTGGAGGCTCTCTGCCTGTGCCCAGAGTGCTCCTGTGGCGATGCCTCGGTGCCTGTGCCTTGTTCTGCTGCAGGAGCACTGCCAGGGAGGGGAGAGAGGACACAGAGCCCAGGCACAGAGACACCCCCCTGCCTTTTCCACATTTTACAACACAGACAGACTCGCCTATGATTTTAATTGTGCTTGCAAAACAAGGGCAACTTCAGGTGCTGGTTTACCTGCTGTGTTTGACAGAAGTTGGCTGTTAATAACTGGGCCAGGAGACGGCAACACAGCAATGCCAAGCTGAACACACGGCCATGGGAGGCAGGGGAGCAACACCTGGGGGGTTTGTGGGCACTTCCCAGAGCAAACAAGGGACTGGCACAACGCTGAGCCACAGGTCTGAATTTTGGTGCTTCCTAATGCTGCCCACCCCGGCCTCTCCGCTGGGTGCAGATGGAACAGCCTGTCCGTGCCCTGCAGCTCCAGCAACGGCAGCTCCACGAGGAATTGTGCACATAAAGTATCTGCAAGACCTTATTCATTGCAAGGATCATCCTTCCAACTGAGGTATCCAATGGAAAGTAGCAGGAGGGAACAAGGATATGAATATATCCTGGAGAAGGATGTGTATTGGAGAAGCGGAGGTTGTGTGGAGACCTCACAGCACCTTCCAGGATCTGAAGGGACCTACAGGGAAGCCAGAGAGGGGCTGTTCATCAGGAACTGGAGTGCCAGGACAAGGGGGAATGGCTTCCCACTGCCAGAGGGCAGGGTTAGATGGGATATTGGGAAGGAATTGTTCCCTGGGAGGGTGGGGAGGCCCTGGCCCAGGTTGCCCAGAGAAGCTGTGGCTGCCCCTGGATCCCTGGAAGTGTCCAAGGCCAGGATGGATGGAGCTCTGAGCAACCTGGAAGGTGTCCCTGCCCATGGCAGGGGGTGGAACTGGATGAGCTTTAAGGTCCCTTCCAAGCCAGACCATTCTGTGATTCGATGAAAAACTTAAAACAGCTCTAGGCCTGCCCCTGAAAAAGCGAGTGAACACTGCACATCCTGTGACTCAGAGAATAAAAGATAAGTAGCTCAAGATCTGGTTTTTGTGGTTTGTTCTGTTCTGTTGTTTTTCGTGGGGGTTGTCAAAAGTCAGAATATTTTTTGAGCTTGCAAAGGTGGGACAGCAACACCACGGTTTAATTTTCACCTGTCCCTGGGGTTCAGGCTCCAGCAGAGACACCAAACGACTGATGTGAACGAGCAAGACTGATATTTCTGCGGGGAGAAACGAACCTGCACGCTTCCAATCTCCCTTTTGCATCAGCAGGGACTCCAGCCTTTGCAAAGTGTTGATGTGCTGGCTGTGTCCTGCAGGAGATGAGCCCCGATACCCGCGTGCCTGGGGAAGGTGCAGGATCTGACACATTCCTTCGGGCTGACGTAGCGAGACTGTTGTGAGTACATGTTGCTGTGCCAGAAATCTGTGCTGTGAGCGCATCTCAGAGCTGCTGTTTTGCACACTGGCATCTTTTGGGAGCTTGGGGAGGCATCACTGAGGGCATTTTTGCAACCCAGCAACACTGTCAGACCTCTCCTTCCTGCCGGGAGCTCCAGATGGTACCAAACCCTCAGATTTTCCAGCTCTGTTAATAATCGTCCTGGGAAACTCTTCCTAACCCTGAGCAACTGCATGGCTGGGCTGGAGGCTTTTGCTTGGCTGGGAATGGGCTGTTCAGTGGGAAACATGGACTTCCCACTTCATAATTCAGCAGCCTCAACGTAGCTTGGGAAGCCAGAGCTGAAACAAGATGGAAGGGAGTGAAGGCACCAGGAAAAATAAGCATCAATGGCCTGAGAACAAATCCTGGAGAGATTTCACCTAGGAAGGGCATGTCCTGCAAGATGGTTGGGAGGCAGAGAGAAGGGATGAACAGGGTTTATTCAGATGCAGGGCTGTCCTACTGATTTTATTCTCAGGGTTTTAACCTTGCCACCATAAATCAAACTTATTTAAACAATTAATCCAATCGTCATCACAACACTTACACCTGCATTTTGGGCCCTACAGCAGGGACAATTTAGGGACACTGGTCAGCATGTCTTGGAATAGCCTAGATCAAGGAAGTGAGGTTTGGGAGAGGAACTTCTTATCTATAATTCAGTCCCAAACAAGGCAATAAATGATCCAGCAGGTCTCCAAAGAAGAGCTGTGCAGCCTCTGCCAGACAGATGGTTAAAGAGGACACTGCCACACTCTCCCCTTTCCTTGAAAAACTGCTGTTTGGCCCTGTCTGGATGATGTCAGTGCTCAGCCCACCCCATCTTAGCTCATCCAGGAAATTGGGAAAAAAATAAAGACATAAAGACATCGCTCCAAACCTTGTAACTGAGGCTGCAGTGGACCAAGAAACCAAATGTGAACTCTGCTTTTGGCCTTCCCTCCTACTGAACCCTTCTATGAGGCTGGCAAACTGGGAGACACCAAGATCTCAGCTCTCTGAGATCAGGTTTAACTAAGCTAACTGCCAAGTGTCTCCTCACCTGGTTTCCAAAGCAAACAAGCTTTTCATCAACCATCCTGATGGACAAGATGCTCCCCTGCTTTGTGAAAGCAGGTTGCAGGCAGAGCTGGAAGGTTTTTCCTTAGTGCTCCTCCTGAATAAAGAGATGGGAGCTCTGAGACAAGAGAGTCTTCTTGGAAATCAGGAACCACCAGTGTCCTCTGCTCCAATTCAGTGCCCAGAAAAGTGACCTCGGCTCTTCCTGAAGTATTTGGCCTGGAAGGGAGTAGCTGTCCTTGCCCACAAAGGTTGTGTGGGACTGTTCACAGGAGATGAGAGGAGAAGATGCTCCCTGACAACACATCTGACAGCTAACAGCACGAGGGCTGGGGGACCTCTCCCAGCCACTGCTAGTGTTTGTTGGGAGCAGAACTGCTGCACAAATAGCAGAAAATGCACCAGAAAAACAACATTTACAATCATTGAATTGTAGAACTGCCAAGGTTGGAAAAGACATTTAAGGTTATCAACTAAACCACATCCTTAAGTGCCCACTTTTTCTTGAACACTTCCAAGGATGGTGACTCCACCACCTCCCTGAACAGCCCGTTCCAATGCTTTGCAACGCTTTCCATTAAAAGAAAATTTCCTAATATTCAATCTAAACCTTCCCTGCTGCAACTTGAGGCCATTTCCACTTGTCCCCTGGGAGCAGAGCCCGACCCCCCCTGGCTCCCCCCTCCTGTCAGGGACTTGCAGAGCCAGAAGGTCCCCCCTGAGCCTCCTTTTCTCCAGGCTGAGCCCCCCCAGCTCCCTCAGCTGCTCCTTTTTTGTCCTTTTGTGTTTAGGGTTATCAAAACAAATTATATGGTTGTTTAGCCATCTTCCACTTGAAATCCAAGTATTTAAAAACTCTGTTCCTTAGGCAGCGCCTGCTCCTGCCCCCACAACCCCACTTCTTTAACCAGCCCCTGCATCATGAGTGGGACCAGGGTGAGAACTGGGGGCACGTGCCACAGCTGAGAGGGAGGTAAAGAGAAGAGACAGGAGCTGAGTCAGACATCCAACAGACGCTCTAAGTGCACACCACATCCTCAGGCCATCCCTTGCTCAGCCACCCACAGAAGGCAGAGCTCTCTGATCACAGAATCACAGAATCAGCTGGGTTGGAAGAGACCTCTGAGATCATCAAGTCCAACCCTTGATCCAACCCCACCATGGTTCCCAGACCATGGCACTGATGCCACATCCAGTCTGTCCTTAAACACCTCCAGGGACGGAGAATCCACCCCCTCCCTGAGCAGCCCATTCCAATGGCTGATCACCCTCTCTGTAAAGAATTTCTTCCTGATATCCAACCTAAACCTCCCCTGGCACAGCTGCAGACTCTGAGCCCTCTTGTCCTACTGCTGGTTCCTGGGAGAAGAGCCCGACCTCCACCTGGCTCCCCCCTCCTGTCAGGGAGTTGCAGAGAGTGAGGAGGTCTCCCCTGAGCCTCCTCTTCTCCAGGCTGAGCCCCCCCAGCTCCCTCAGCCTCTCCTCACA